GCAGCGGCTGCGTCCCGCGGAGTGGCCGGCGCTGCTCGCGGCTGGGGCCGCGGAGGGGAGGCGGGAGGCGGGCTCTGCGCGGATTAGCATAAACTTGGGGCCGCGTCGCTCTCCTCCGCCGGCCCCCTCTCCGCCGCCAGCCCCCCGCCCCAGCTCCGAGCCGACGCCCGAGGGGCCGCCTGCAAGCAAGAGGTTAAGAAGGGAGCAGCCCCGAGGTGGCAGGGGCGCAGGCCGTCGCGCCCTGGGAGGCTCCCAAAACACACGCATCCACCGTCGGCCGCATGCACCGGGCGAGAAGCAGGGCCAGACCCCCGGGGCCGTCCGGGGCGCGGGGCTCTCCAGGAGCCGCCCACTCGCAGGACATGCTGGTCTTAAAAGCCGGTGGGCGCCCGGGCACCGCGGTCCAGGGCTCTGGAGCTGAGATGACCGTGTTTTGGGGCGCGCCAGCAACACCTCCCCAGCCACCTCCTTGGAAGGGGCCCAGACGGTCCCTGTTGGCTAGCTCTGTCTCCTCGCACTGTCATTGTCCGGAGGTGCCCAGGACATCTGACTCTGCTGACCCCTCCCCGGGCATCTTAACCCCTCCCAGATCACTAGCCCTCTGCAACGCAGTGGCCAGGCTGTCACTCTGGTTCCCTGGGTGGGGTCAGTGTTATCTTTGTCTCTCTTAGATATGGGCTGCACCGAGCCCCAAACACCCATCACCTCTCCAGCCCAACCAAGGACCTCTTTGTGCAACTCTCAGCCAGCGGGACCACAGTACTGGCTCATTATTAACGTCTGGTCAAAGAAAACCTTTAGGTCTTTCTCACAAGGAGCTGCTGTGAAGCCAGGCTTCCTCCATATTTCCCTTGTGAAATTGACTCTTGGAACCTGAGAGTTGGCCTTTACAGTCATCTTTATTCAACATCTTCTTGTTGACTTTCTAACCTGCAATGAGCCTTTTGAATCCTGAATCTGTCGTCCAGCAGAGTGGCACTTCTTCCTGGCTTTGTCTCATCCACAGGTGACAACAGTCTTCTGTGTTTTTACCCAAGTAGGGGCACAGAACTCTGAGGCACACCTGGAGGGACCTCCCTCCAACCTGACTTTGAGGTGTGAATCTACACCCTTTGGGTAAAGCGATGATACCAAGGGTGCTGGAATGGGGCAGCTCTGAAACCCACCTCTGTGCCTCTGCCCTCTGCCAGCCACAGGGGCTTGTGGGTCCCGTGAGGCAGACACTTGACCTAAGCAAGCCGCTGGTCTTTCTCGTGGGCTTTGGAATTAACACAGAGGCTGAGGGGACCCGGCTTCCAGGTGGGGGCTGTATTTGTTTCCTGGGGTGTTGTAACGAATTGTACCACAAACGTGGTGGCTTAAAACAACAGAAATCTGTTCTCCCACAAACCTGGAGACTAGAAATCTGATATCAAGGTGTCAGCAGAGCCATATTCCTTTATTCCTTCCAGAGACTCCAGGGAAGAATCCTTCCTTGCCTCTTCCAACTTCTGGTGGCTCCTGCCAATCCTTGGCACTCTGTGACTCGTAGCTGCATCATTTCAATGTCTGATTGTCTTCACGTGGCCTTCTCCCTTGTGTCTACGTGGCCTTTTTCACATGGCCGTTTTCTCTGTGCGTATCTCTGTGTCCTTTCCTCTTCTAATAAGGACTCCAGTCACTGAATTTAGGGCCCAGGCTAACCTACTACTGGTGGTTTAGTGGTTAAGATTCGGCACTCCCACCAACACGGCCCGGGTTCATTCCCCGGTCAGGGAACTATACCACCTGTCTGTCGGCTGTCACACTGTGGTGGCTGCATGTTGCTGTGATGCTGAAAGCTACGCCACTGGTATTTCAAACACAAGCAGGATCACCCATGGTGGACAGGTTTCAGCGGAGCTTCCAGACTAGACAGACTAGGAAGAAGGACCTAGCCACCCATTTCCGAAAAAACTGGCCATGAAAACCCTATGAATGGCAGCAGAGCATTGTCTGATATAGGGCTGGAAGGGTAGAAGATGGTGCAAAGAAACTGGGCAGGGTTCCGCTCTGCTGTACACAGGGTACACTAGGAATCGGAACCAACTCGACAGCACTAACACTAATTCAGTTTGACTTCGTCTGAAGTAATTTTATCTGCAAAGACCCTATTTCCAAATAAGGTCACTTTCTAAGGTTCTAGGTGGACATGCATTTAGGGGGGACACTATTCAACCCACTACAGGGTCCCTGAGGTGGGGGTGAGAGGACAGACCATGGCATGCTGTAGCCATAGCTCTGCAGGAGTTGTAGGGAAGTTGGGGAAGAGAATTTGCCAGAGGAAAGTGGGGCAGAGTGGAGGGGCTATGGTACTCAGGGGGAAGTGTGGTGAGTAGCCATTTGGTGACTGGCTTCCCCTATCTGCTTCTAATAACCCACTTCACTTAAGCTAGCTCCAGTGGGTTTCTGATCCCAGCAAGCAAATGGTGCCCATCTAAGACAGCCTTTCATCCTCCGCCACAAGTCCACCAAATGTGCTATTATAATCTCCAGCCTTTAACAGAGATGTCATGAGCCATTTTGCTGGGGGCAAGATACACAGCATCCATAACACGCTCTTGATCTTGTAACCATGGAATTTCTGCTTCTCGGATAGTGAGAGACATCTGAGTGGGAGATGAGCAGAGCCCCACTCCTCACCCTAGACTGCGTTCTGACCGCCTGGCAGCACTGCCCAGCTGGCTCGAGGAGAAAAATCCCCTCTCTGCCCCCCCTAGAAGCTGTGATCCTTTTCCAAGGGGTCCCACCCCTTCCTCACTCCCTTCCCCAGCCCAGATGTGGGGCCCACAACTCACACGGAGGAGGCTGGACCCTGTCTGAACTTGGAGAAGTTCACATAACAGGGGGCTGAAAGGACAGTTGGACCCCGCTTCCCCCTTTCCCAGGTGGCTGACATCAAACACTACACTCCCTCTTTAACTGGAAGAGTTTTGGGAGCCAGCACTGGGCCCAGTTCTGGTGGGGGTGGAGGACGTCCGTGGGGGAGATGCTCAGGGTCTTGGCTGGATCCAGCCAGAGGCTGGGGTCTCCTCCATAGATGGTGAGGCCACTTTGCATCTGCCAGACAAGAAACCTAGGGAGGCCAGAGGGAGGGGAGGGAGGCCGACAGTCATGTCCTCCTGCACTCAGACTGGAGTGTCTACACCTGGATGGAGGCGGGCTGAGGGGCCACTCACAGGGTCACGCTTTCTGTTCACAGGGACACGCATGGCCATATCCAGACACCCTTGGTCCGCCTCCCATACCACTTCCATACACAGCGGTGGCACAGTGGGGGGACATGAGTGGGAACCTCTGCCAGACACTGGAGTTTCCCTCCTTCCTCCAGGGGCTTCCTGAGGCAGAAGGAAAGAACTGGCTCTTAGGGAAAGAGAAGACAAGAGAATAGATCCCAGGAAGCTGCAGAGACGCAGGCTTGCTTGGTGGTGAGTTAACACGTGGCTCTGGTGCTTGGCATCCTACTGGCCCGGGATATCCCTTCCCTGCCTCCATGCACTTCTCAGAATCCAAGGAGGTTCCTCTCCCTTCTCCAGGTGCACCCAGAAGGTTCTCTCCTTTTTTTTATCAAGACCCACCACATAAGATCATTGAGAGCCTCACAAAGTTTTATGAAATGCATAAAAGAGACAGAAATAGAAAGCACTGAAACTGCCAGCTTTCTGGCACAAGCTCTTCCCCCACAGAGAAGGCACCTGCCACTCAGAGGTGGCACCGGCCCTAGGATACAGGCTCCTGACCCCACCGGCCCTTTGTCTCTGCCCTCCAGCCCCAGCCGATCTCCTTTCTTCTGAGCGTGCACGGCTTGGCCTCCCTGCACATGGGGCCACCTTTGGAAGTTCTGTGTAGCAAGGCTCTGTGCCCGGGCTCTCTCTCGCCTCAACATCAACATCAGCATGCTCAAAGCCCAGTTGGCATTTTGATTACATCCACAGCATCAAAAAGGGTTACTGTCAATTCCACATTGCATCTCTGGGGCAGGGGTTTGGAGCAACCCCTTCCAACTGGGCTGAAGTGTGGCTTCTCTAGGACCCTGGGGTGGGCAGATGTGCAGCCCCAAGGTGAGGGCCTGGGAGGAGTCCAGAAATCATGGAAACTGGACTCTGTGAAGCCCAGATGGACGTCCATGGAGAGCGAGTTGCTTAGAAGCAACTTAAAAATTGTGCAGTGCTGATGGGCCCTCAACGCAGACACATGCAAACCAGATGCAATCATTATGCAAATCATATGCAAAATACATGTGTGGTCCTCCCAACTATTGCAAATGCCAGATGTGGCCGTTGGGGACCCTGAGTTTAGCTGAGCTCTGTTGTGGGGCAGAGAGATGACCCTGGACTTGCCAGTCTCCTATGGTGGGCAGGAAGGGCTTAGCTTTGAGGCGGTTCACACAATGGGGAACGGAACCAGATAGGGAGTCAATCACACCTGGGTTTGAATCCCAGCTCCTCCACTCCTGAGTTGGGTGACCTTCATGGAGTCACTTCACCCCTCTGAGCCTGTCTTCCCATCTGTAAAATGGTTACTAGGAGGACTAAATGAGAACTTTGGCTAAAGCTCCCATCCACTCAGTTGGGCACATATGAGACGCTCGGTGAGCCCTTCCCTGGGGGACGGATGTCTGGGCTTCTTTCTGCTCACTGAAGTGGCGACTGCGCCCCTCAGGCCATGGGCAGGACCTTCTCCAAGGGCAGCAGCCCAGCTGTGGGCCAAGAATCCTCATACTCCTCCCTCATTCAGAACAGTCAGAGGTCCCACTCGACAGGCGGTGTGAGGGACGCTGTTGGTACCCCGCCAGACCCCCTTTACCAGGCCAGTGCACCCACCATCCCCCCACTGTAGGCATGATGACGCTAATGCTCACAGCTGCCCCTTCTGTGAATTGCCCTCAGCTGATGACAGCCACCTCCCCCGGGAAGTTACAAACCCTCCTACCCCACAGCCAATGACTGGCTGATACAGTGATACAAAAGGCTGGCCTCCTCGCCTCAAGGGGACAGCTCAGCAGTGTGGTTTATGTTCCAGGCCCCCCTGGATCAGGCCACGTCTAGACTCTATCTGAGGCCCCATTCTTGCTCTGCCCCTTCGCCTGCTTCCCTCCCTCCCTCCCTGATGTTTCTCCTGAGAGCCCTCCCTTAATAAATCACATGTTCCTGAATCCCTGTCTCTGGCTCTGCTTCTGGGGAACCTGACCCAAGACAGGGAGACAGACCTGCAAGCAGAGAGGGACAATGCATGTGATACTCATTATGGTCAAGGACCATAGGGAGCCACAGGGGCACAGAGGAAGAAGTGCCTGGGGTTGGGAGAAAGGGTCAGAGATGTTTCCCGAAACAGGCTGCACTGGAT